CACATTTTATTGCATATATTGCGTATTACGGCAAAAAGTTGACGCATTTGACTGGTATGTCATCTTCTTTGGTATATCATGTGTTTCACACTCTCGGCACGTTTTATTGGATATATTGTGTCTTACGGCAAATAGTTGACGCATTTTACTGGTATGTCGTCTTCTTTGGTATATCATGTGTCTTTTAATATACTGTTTTCTATAGTTACCGCTCCCAAATAAATTGCACTCCGCACTTTGGGGCTGTGGGCGCATTATAAGAGTGACAGCCAAACGACACTATTCAATTAGAGTAACCCAAGAGTTGGCGATGTTGACTAGCTGCCATTCCTATAGTCTGCCATTTCAAAATTAGACAGCTAGCGCAGATTACCACTTAATTAGCTTTGTGTGAAAATCAAGAAAACAATAACTTTATATAGCAGGCACTACATGTAGACAAACAACTTTATATAGCAGGCACTACATGTAGACAAACAACTTTATATAGCAGGCACTACATGTAGACAAACAACTTTATATAGCAGGCACTACATGTAGACAAACAACTTTATATAGCAGGCACTACATGTAGATAAATAACTTTATATAGCAGGCACTACATGTAGACAAACAACTTTATATAGCAGGCACTACATGTAGACAAACAACTTTATATAGCAGGCACTACATGTAGACAAACAACTTTATATACAGGCACTACATGTAGACAAACAACTTTATATGACAGGCACTACATGTAGACAAACAGTCAAATAGGAAATTTATTATTTTAATACCTATTTTTCTGTCCGCCCAGCAATGTGTACTAAATGATGCAGATGAAAGCTGCCACCTAACAGGAATGATGCTTTTACAGTCAAGGCAACTTATCTTTGATGGGTTAAAATAAGGCAAAATGTTGCTGAAATTTGGATGTCCTGTTATTTTGTAAATATGACTTAAAATCATTAAACAATGTAATATAAAAACACATATTTTTTCCGTTAGTAATACTATGTTACTCCAAAACGTCTCTCCCTATTTTATGGTTGTCTTGAGATCCTACAGTATATATGTCACCAGAAGAAAGAGATCAGACAAATTGTTTGTTTTTAAGCACAAAGGGTTGTATATACTCTGCCCACCGTGGATATTTAAATCAGATTTGAGCGTTATAAGCCCACATGAAATAACCATCAAACGAAGTATGGTGACAATATCTACATGAGGATGCATTCAAATTCATCTTTAGAGATAGTTAATTGTCTTGTCTGCTAGACTAATTACAAGATATTACATACACCATCTAGGGGTTAAAACATTTGTGAACAGTGGATACGCTCTTTGGATCACAGATCACTGATTAATAATACTGCAAGTATATATGTAGTTAATACTCAGTGTCAAAAAGGAGCAACTCTCAGGTTTTGTTTGCTAAGTTACTCTCACCTATTGAACAGGAACAATGTCGAAACTGGGTTTAGCCTACATTCAGTAAAGAATTACAAAATTCGTCAAAAGGTAGAACTCTCTTTAAGACACTGGGCCAAGACTCGTAAAACCTAACTCCCCCGTTGGGACAGCGGTGAGTTTACGGGCTTAGAATGCTAAGATCCAGGGTTCGAATTCCCCCGCGGTGGACACAGCAGATTGCTCAATGTGGGTTTGCTAAAAACAAATAAACAAACAACAAACCCAAAGCCTAAACAATTTCGAAAGGCTGTTGTTTGATTGACATGATATTTGTTGATATTGATGTATGAAATCTACAGATGGCATTGGAGTTAAACTAAGTAAATAAATAATGATTTATGTGTTTTTTTTACTTGTAGAAACATGTTTTGGAACAATTTGATCTTCTTCAGAAACCTGCAGAAATTTCACCTTTCTTCAAACCATTTTTGTCTATTCCGGCAACTGTGATGCCCGTAGAACGGTATGACTATGTTTTTTTTTAGTTTATCAGTGTACTTCAGATTTCGTAACACTATTCAGTACATCAGAATACATTAGATATATAGGTATGTTTACATATGTAAGTTTATATAGAATATACAGAACCATAGCATATGAATATGAGCACACCCAAAACCATTTGTTTTATCCGAAATACCCACAGTACTTCTACATAGCTCTACTGAGCATGAACCCTAAAGATCAAGGAAAAGGGGAAGCTGCGGAGTACTGATGGGTCTGTTTCTGCTTAGTTTTATGCTTGTATTGTATTGCATATTGATATCATTAATGTCAACTCTAAGGCAAAACTGCGTATTTTAGTTTGCCAGGACACTGTATATATGTGATCTTCGACACGTATATGTCCGTTTGAGTTTTCTTTATTACTAGTGTTATCCTTGTATGTCTTCGGATTGAAAGAGTCTAGTAACCACCATACTTTTAAATTGTGTTCATCACCAAAAACACTCCTGCATAAGGTAAATATGCATCAATTATTAAAAATTGATTAAAGGTTGCTTTTTTATTGACAAGCTTTAATTTTAATGTTTACTTTTCGTTATTTTCTTTGTGTATAACTGACACGAACAGGATATGATTGACAAGGCTTTCGTGAGAAACGTAGGGGTAAGTTACCATCCAAACTAACAATAAAATGATTATCGTGTTAAAAAAGAGAACTGGTCATGAATTAAAACACATGAATATCAGTCAATGTATTAAAAAGGTTTCCTTTGCGTTGGATTTTCTGTATTTTTCTACATATTTCTCGTTAATTATTAACATTTGAAACAGATATGTAATTCTACGTAATACTATTTAAAAAAATAAATCAGTTATCAGTATATTGTACAGAGGAGACTGCTCTGGATTGAAAACTTTCATGGACTGCATCTCCTAACACAGGTCTTCATCAAAACACTTGTATCGTCATTCTCCTTACTGAGGCGCTTGACTCGCAATCAGAGGGTCGCGGGTTCGACTCTTCGTCCCACCAAACATACTTACTCTTTCAGCCGTGTGGGCGTTATAACCTGACGGTCAATCCCGTCACTTCTCTCGTGACTATAACCAGAATTTAAACATCGCACCACTAATTAATGAACTCTACGGATGATATAACTACCCGGAACACTTCCTGTGATTCTCTCGTGGCTTTAACTAGAATTTAAACATCGCACCACTAATTAATGAACTCTACAGATGATATAACTACCCGGAACACTTCCCGTGATTCTCTCGTGGCTATAACCAGAATGTAAACATCGCACCACTAATTGATGAAATCTACGGATGATATAACTACCTGGAACACTTCCTCTTGACTCTCTCTTGGCTATAACCAGAATGTAAACATCGCACCACTAATTGATGAAATCCACGGATGATATAACTACCTGGAACACTTCCATTGACTCTCTCTTGGCTATAACCAGAATGTAAACATCGCACCACTAATTGATGAAATCTACGGATGATATAACTACCTGGAACACTTCCTGTGATTCTCTCGTGGCTATAACCAGAATGTAAACATCGCACCACTAATTGATGAACTCTACGGATGATATAACTACCTGGAACACTTCCTGTGATTCTCTCGTGGCTATAACTAGAATTTAAACATCGCACCACTAATTAATGAACTCTACGGATGATATAACTACCTGGAACACTTCCCGTGATTCTCTCGTGGCTATAACCAGAATTTAAACATCGCACCACTAATTAATGAAATCTACAGATGATATAACTACCTGGAAAACTTCCCGTGATTCTCTCGTGGCTGTAGCCAGAGTTCAAATACTTCTTGATCATATCACTAATTGGTGAAAGCTTTGATGTATTGTGCTTAATTCTCAGAAAACTCAAGTTATTATCTTTTATAAAGTCTCAACAAAAATACAACCAAATAACTTCTATAATACATCAACAGCCTTTTTTTATTGTAACACTATAGTATTTACAGGCATCATTTCTAATAATGAATTAACTTGGAACAAGCATTTTACTTGCATTTTCACTAACACCAGAAAAAGAATTAGCTACATCCGTAAAACTGGGATCGTGTTCACGGTTGTAACTCTTATTAATCTCTAAAGTTTTCATTAGAATACTCCTGTATTAAATATGTACCACGTCCGGCTTTCTTTTTCAGTATCTCCAGATTCCACAAAATCGAGGCGTTAGAATTCTTTCTGTCATCCTATATGCACTCCTTCTAAACTATTATGATAACTCATGTGGCATTCCAACAGCTAAATAATATATTAAACTATCAACCGAAACTCTTTTTCAACCAAGTTCTTCAGCAACTACTTCGTCCTGGCAAAAATATCGCCCTCCATAACATTTAATTAACAGTTAATTACACCTCTATATATTCGTTGAAATTCTACCATCATATCTTGCTTAATAAGAGTAGGGGTTGAGTGATTTTCAATCTCTGACTACTTGAGCTCTTTCCTAAACTTTCACAAAAAAAACATAAAAAAACGAAAAAATGGTTGACTTGATTAAGACAACTAGTAGTTAAAACATCGTCCTCATCCCAACAGGAGGTTTATACCAAGAATGTTTTCAGTCCACTGAACAATATAATTATATAATAGTTTATTATCATCCCACAATCAGGGACAAATTATCCAGTAGGTTTAAGGTTTGGGCCTAGAGCGCAAACGTTTGAGAGATGCAATCTTAGGGATAAAAATAAACAATTAATAAAAAAAAAATTCCACCCATTTCATTGTATTTTAATTTATTGGAGTTTTTTTGTTGGTGGAAAATTTTCTTGGCGGGTCATTCGAAAAGTTATGGGTGCATCTAAAACTGTGATTCTAGAGTACCAGTTAACCCTAATATGCCCACAACCACCGTAAACTTTAATTTAATTTTATATTTTCTATCATGATGTTTTTCAAATTTCATACATTTTTTGTGCAAAAGTTTAACTGGAAATGTCAACAACAAAAATTAATATTACACGTGTCATCGCTAAAAAGAGTCATTAATGAAATATACAAAAGTAGAATTTTACACTATAAATGCTTTCAAAATAAATAAAACCTTGTCATCTTGGATTATGTCGAATTTCTGCAATTCTAATTCTTCTTTGTATTGTTTAGTCTCATAATTAGATACATTAAACAACAGGACACTTGGTATATCTCATTGATGTAAACAAAAAATATTAATTAATAACATAGCACTTTGAAGATATTGAAATTTTATATTCCACGAATTGCAGAAAAAATCTGAAGTCAGAAGCTAAGGATGTTATAGAAAAAGAATTGTTACCAGCCTTTCAGGAACTTCGGAATTTTATAGAAAAGGTTAGGTGTTTAAAGATTGTTTTGTTCAATAGTTTATATGTTGAACTAACTGCTTACATGCAGCCTCTATTGATGAATGAGCAATATTTCTTTTACACAAAGACGATTAAGGAAATTCAAAAACAATTTATTATTATTATCCCTTTTAATAAAGCCTGTTGTAATTTGGGTTTTATATGTAAACAAGAGGTAATCCTAAATAGCTGCGGAACTTGAAATTCTTTTAGGAAGGATTAGAGTCAATTAATCTATGAGACCTTTTTTCATTTTTATTAGCTATATTTATGTACGCCAGCAATACCAAGAGTGGGGCGTGCGTATACCTGATTCGATTTGATTACTCATCAGGATCTCTATGAGCCT